AGCTTTAGCTTTAAGCAAACAAGATTTCAATCCAATCTCTGACCTGAAATGTGACTGAAAACTGCCAAAATCTCACAAAACAAAGAGATTTCCCCTGATAGACTTGAAAAAATGAAAAACCAGTGAAACACTGAGAGGAGGTCCTCACCCTCTGGTGGCTCCGAGTCGGAGTCCCCGAAAACCTCGTCTTGGTAGCGAAACACGTCGTTATGGACGTAGAATTTGTTTGCAACCGTCCCCTGAATATAGAAAAACAAATAGGAAAAGGCACCCCCGGTTAGAGAAGAGCTCACGGCCGGCCGGGCGGGCGGGCGGCGCTGGCTGAGCCTGTGCACTGACCTCGGGGGCCAGGACGAAGGTCTGCATGAACTTCCTCATGGGCTGCATGTTGTTGGAGAGCTCGCCCATCACCTGCACCACCACGCCCTCGTTCAGGGTGGCGTGGGCGTCCACGTGCCGGATCTTGGTGTGACAGTCCCTGAAGCTCAGGGCCATCACCCTCTTGTGGATCTCCTTCAGAAAAAGACAGAAACTTCAAAAACACGGTTTGAGCTTCTACCCAGGCCTTCAGAAGGCCGTAAAAATTTAAATAATTCCACCTTTACCAGGAGAGAGCTGGTCCACCCCCCCCACCCTCGATTTCTGTTTTTAACCCTGCTTATGCTCCATTCCCAGCCCTCCCCTAACCCTCTCATATCAGTCTGATCTGCTCTGCTTTCTCATAAAATGACCACACTTTCTGAACCCCCGACTGCTACACCTCAGAGTTCATCTGGGTGCTGATCTGAAAGCATTTCAGGGTTGTTGTTTTTTTTTTTTTAAATGGAAGAAAACAGGCAAAGGGACTGTTTTCTAAAGCAGGAAGTCTGGAATGATCCCACAGCTCTGAGTTCCAGCTTTTAGTCAGCTTGTTCCAACACGTCAGAACAAAGTTTCCCTTCGTTTGTGGAATGGATGCTGGAACGGAGCTCGTTTCCAGGAAAAGAAGCCTCATTCTGGAGGAAAACTAGCGGGAACTCTGGACTCTCGTTTGGATCAGAGGCTCATATGTTGATGTGTTTGTACAGAATCAGCTGTGTGCTTTTAGGCAAATGTACAGAAGAAACCTAATGTGGAGGCTTTAACGCTTGAAATCGGTCAAATGGACTGAATAAAAACAGGGTAGGCCTTAAAAAAAAAAAAAAGAAAAAACAGAAGAAAAGCTTCCCTTGTTGCTTCACTTATGGAAAAACTCGAGATAGACTTACGGATTGTCCGTAAACGGCCTCCACCGGCTTGCCGTTGCTGTCCAGGCCACCGTGCACGTAGGAGGAGTTCTTCCCGTAGAACCTGAGCACAGACAGGGAGGGGCCGTCATTCCCACCGCCACACAAAGCGGGAAGAAGGGCCTCCGGCGGGGAGGGGGCACACGAACCCACCTGTGCAGGTAGTCGGGGGCCTGGTTCAGGAGTGTGTAATACTGTCGGACAAACTCTCGCCCGACCAGCTGGGCACTTGGCTTCTCCATCACCATTTCTTTGGTCAACTGGAAATCTCTGCGGAGGAGACGGCAGATTTAAGTCAGAAACGGCTCCGGGAACAAGTCGGCCCAACGGCCGGTTCATAATAAAGAGTCTAATAAAAGGTGCGTGGTTAATAAAAGGGTTAGAAACTAGGCCTCTTTGGATCGGATGCCAAAATCCCCCAAAAAAGTGCGTATCTGCTGGCAGGAGAAAAGGCCGATCCAGACTTTAACACATGCTCTGATAGGCGGGATCAAATCCGAAGTGCGAAAGGCTGGATCGGGACATCCCTAATGTAAACCCCAACTAAGACCTAATTAATTAATTCCAAAGCTATTTTATTATAGAAAGACCTCCAAGCTTCACTAGAAACAGAGCATTTCCCTCACTGTGCCGATGACACTCAGCCCTACCAGAGAAAACAGCCGGTGACATTTCACAGAAACTTCTAAAAGTCCCCTGAGAGGATGTTTTTCCTGATCTGGTGAAAACAGAAAGCACGAGCACGTCCTAAAAAACCAGCAGCTGCATCCCAAAACGGCCACCGATGCAGATTCAGAGCAGATCCCATCTCCTGATGTGCCTGTTTCCCAGAGCCAGCTCCCAGGGTGGAAAACAAAGCTGGACATCGGCTCTCATATGGTTTTGTTTGGGCTCCAAAAACCACCACAGACTGAACCATCACACCTGGTTCCTGCACTCAACCAAAAGGACCAGTTCACTCTGCTCCCCCAGAGGAGGGATGTCCAGTAGGGTTGTCACGATACTCAAATTTTCGACTCAATATCGAAACTCAGGAAACGATTCGATACCATTTCAATACAAGGATAAAGACCCCCAAATTTTACTGGATTTTGACAGGCTGGTGTCTTTGGTTTCAAACTGACCCATTACTGATGTTAGCGTTGCCGGTGGCCTGCTTTAAATGTTGGTGTGTTATTATTAGCCATTAGCCGCAGCTGGCAATTCAAGGCTAACGGCACTTTAATGATCATAAACATCACCCTATCAGGAAACGCCACCTTTCCATTTCAACCGGCGGCTCGGGAGGAAAGAGCAGTCGCCACCGGTTGGAAGGTCAGGGGTTAAACTCCATGTCCATCTGGACCACATGTCAGAGTCCTTGGGCAAGGCCCTGAACCCCAAGTTGTGGGGTGTGTGAAAGGTCAACGTCGTGTAGAGTAAATTGCTTTTAATGTTCAGTTTGACTGGGAAAACACTATATAAGGGCGTGTACATTTACACGGGCGGTCTTTTATGGGCCTTTTCAGCCATTCCCTCCATCCATCCCAAGTTAGGTCATCACAGCCAGGCGGTCAGAAAGCCCTTTGACCTCATCCGTGTGTGATGGTGCACAGGCTGCTGAGTGGTGTCCCTCTGTGGCCGAGCAGAGGCCTGCAGCCTGTAGATGGACCCGAAGTAAAACCCCAACAGAAGTAGTGCAAAATGGCCACAAAGGGACGGAAACCACAACATATCTTCAGGATGCCATCAAAAATCGATCTCTTAATGTTAACTTAATGTCAGTTATAAAGGAGTTTGAGTTTGAAGCCGTTTCTGGCTTTGAACTCCTGAAACGCTCTTTTTTTTAGGAGTGATAAATCATTCCCGTGACTTCCAGCAGGTTTCCTGCTCAAAATGTCCCATGTTATTAGTAATTCCTGATTTATTACTACATGCCACAGCTGTTTGGCTCCAATTCTGTCCTTCCTGTTGACCCGTAGGCAGTTTTCAGCCCTGTAACACTGGCCACCGTGCTCCATTTCTGTTGGGTTCAAGCCCCGTTTTTAGCCTTCTTTCTCCTGTTAGATCATGCAGCTCTTGATGAGTTAAGTGATTGTGATACCGGCTGAGCTTGTTCTGGACAAAAAAAAAACAACCAATTGAAAACGCCCTGATCTTAAAATCAAACTTTTAAATAATGCAATTGAAGGAGGATTTCGACAATATGGCCGTAAGGTTTTTTTCCAGATGCAAGAACCCCCTTTTCAACAGAAGGTACACCTAATTAAACTTAACTGAGCACATATTTAAATACAGCTACAAGTCCCTGCTTGTGCTTTTTTTTTTTTTTTTTATTCCATCCTGACATGAATTAAAACCCATCCCTGCCCGGAAGGGGGGAAAAAACACACACACAAATGAATTCCTAAGCGTGGCTATTTGAGGAAGTATTGGGTGTCAGAGGGAACCGGTGGTCTCATCTTGTGGTCCGCCGGCCACACCTGTCCACGAAACCGAGAGAGCCATCTGCTGTTCCGGCACGTTCTCCACCACCGCCACGCGACCGGTGGGATTAACCGACCCCACGCGCACAGCCGTCCGGCGAGCTCCCGCTGAGCTGGGGCTCAAGGGCCCGGAGCAACCGGGGAGGGGGGGGAGCAGAGACTCACTTTCACCAACAGAAACACAATGGACGCCATTTCTAGCCCCTTTAAGAAGGAGGCCGGTGTGAAAGTAGCACGTGCGGCACGCAGACAAAGGCCACCTCGCGCCGGGAGAGACGGTGCCGCTCGCGGGAGACACCGGCCTGCACGCGCTGCCGTCATGGCGGCGCCGCCAACTCAACGGGACTTATGGGGGGGAGGGAGGGAGGGGGGGGTCCGGTTTTCTTCGACCGTGTCCAGATATAACCCGGGCTCGCCGACAGGCCCCGTTCCGGTGCAAAGCCGTGACAGCTGAGAGCCCGCCGCCCTCCAAACTAGGGCAGGAGAGGCGAGCGTCCCGGCTCAGGAGGAGCCACTAGCACGTGTCCCCGCGGCTCTCCGGCCGCACTCCCACACCTCCGACCGGCATTTGGACGGCTTTCTGCTCGAAACCCCCCTAATTAGCTTTTTGTAACGCAAGAAACACAATAACGAGTCACATTTATAAGCATTCCGGGGAATGAATACGACACCACAACGAGGGGAGTCACGACTGAAACGGGGCTAAGTGTGAGCTACACACGGGCGGTGGGTATTTCCTGAACCCTCAAAGTGAAACCAAGCACTCGATGTAGTCCATAAAATCCAACATTTATACCTCTTCCGAGCTACTACGTCGTGCTATTGAATTTGCAAAGCATTTATTATTGAAACTATTTCTCCATTTTAGACATTACACGTGATAATTGGGCTACAATGTCAACGGAAGCTAACAACGAACGTCTCAATACCAGTACGTAGACAGGCCCCGGACCCGGTAAAACAACGCAGGTAGCGCATCAGACTGGACATTTCTGATACAAATATAAGATCTGATATAGTATAAAAACTTACCAATGAGTCAGTTATTTAAAAAAAGACGTTGTTTCGTAACAAGTAAGGTTTTCTTACACACCGTAGCGGCAGCCACACCACTAGCGGCTTCACAACGTGCTGGACTGCCCGGGTACCGGTTTCACCCCTGCAACCAAACGTGAGGTCCCGCCTCTTCAACGGTTTCCAGCCAATAGAATTCAGCTCTGACGAAGAGTTGACCAATAGCGTGACAGACTAGTAAGAATTCCACAAGAACATCCAATCGTTACAGGTTATATTGCTCGCTGGTTTCTCGAGCAGGCCAATCACATCGCATGGTGGACTATGCGATGGTTTTAGAAATTGGGCTCTGCCGGCATTTCGTGCGGCAATGCGGTGCACTGGAGCCGTTTCCACGCACGGGGGCGACAAAAGTGCACAGACAGCGTGTGCGCAAATCTATTGGACCGATTATTTCCGTTCCACAAACACTAGTTAGGGTTATTTTATTTTGTATCAGGGCAATTTGACGTTGTCTCCACTCAATAAATTGAAAGAAATCCAAAAAAGTGGACAAGTGTGACTTTGATTTGCTATGTCTCTCAGAAAAAACTATGCAATATGGGTTAATATGTATATTTTTAATGTAATCTTTCAAAGAATGCTTCCTTTTAGGTGCTTTATTTCAAAACATAACTATAATCAGGTGCACTCAAACCAACCAAAATGCATGAAATTTAATCTGGGATTAAAATCAGTCTGCAGTAACTGATCTCAGACGTGCCGGGTCCCAGCTGAGGGACTTCCACTGGGAGCAGAGGACTGTCTCGTGTTACCAGCGGCGGCCTTTGTTTGCTGCTGGGCCTCGGCTCGCAGGAGGAGCGGCCGGGGCTCCGGCAGAGGAGTGGCTGCAGGGCTTTGTGGAGGAGGCCCGGCCTGTTGTTTCACATTCTTGACGCTGGAGTCTGGATGAGCGGGTGGGGATGGTAACAGGGTGCCTCTCCGCTCCCTCTGCTGTCTCCCGGGGGACCATGAAGGACTTTTTTTTACACCGTCAGCAAGTGGAAATGCAAACAGTCAAGTGCAGCAAAGTTGAAGAAGGCCCGGCCATGTTTAGCAGCACTCGATGTTCAAACCCTCATATCTGTCTTATTTAACAGAATATTCACACAAATAGACACACTACAGTGTTAAATGCTCTAAGGAAGGAAAAATAACACACATATGTTATATATATCATGAAACCTTTTAATAAAACTTAATTTAAGGTCCATCTGACTTCATGTGAGTGACTCAATTACAGGTTGTTTTCAAAGCTAGCAGACCAGCTTGATCAACCTTCAAAGGCAGTTTTATTCTTGTTTGTTGTGCTGGAATGTATTCATGACCTGTAATGGCTTTATTCTTCCACCTGGTTTGAAGAGATGGAAAATGTGTTGATGATAGATGACATATTCTGCCCTCCATCTGTTCAATGAGAGCTCATTCAAGCAGAAAGATCACTTCTTTGGACCGCTGTTGCATTATGGTGGAGGTTCTGTTGTACTGCTCCACCCTGGCAAACAGCACCACATCGGGCTCAGCGGCCCCTGAAGGCAACACATTTTAACATGTCTGCGTCCTGAGATTTTAAGGAGCTGGAACCTTTCCCAGAAAAAGGCAGAAAAGACTGATATTTATAGGGATCCTGGAATGGATTCACACTCTTTAAACTGAGGGTCCCTAAGGGTAGAAGAAGAACAAATGCAAACATGCTTTTGTTTGCAGAAATTAAATGGTGTGAGATATTTACCTGACAAAAGACCCGTTCATGACCTGGAATAAACACTCCTTTTACACTTCGCTGACATTTAACCAGCTGGAGTTTTTGTTGATTTCGCTTCATGGAATGTTTGTCCTGCATTTTTGTCTTTGATTTATGTCCTCTCATATTAAAATGGGTCTCTTTTCCCTCTCAACGTGGAGCGTCCTGTCTCAGAGTGAAGCACAGAAACTTCTTAGTGCATTTGTTCCTTCAGGACTGGACTGCTGTAATTATTCATTATTGCTCTCTCCTAAGAACTCTGTGAAAAGGGGAAGCGGATATCTTCGTCTTGAAAGACGAATAAATTATCTCCAAGAAGAATCGTCTTTGAGACTTCTTCAGTTTTGAGCAAAATTGTGGCATCAACACTCAAAGGAGGCTCTTCGAACCTGTGTCTCTCCTTCTGGACATCTGGACCCAACCACACTCTCCAATAAGAGAAGAAGAGCGTGTCGTGATGCCATATGTGGCCGAAGGATCCTCTCCAAAGACTTCCCGCCCCTCAGGCAGAGGCTGCTCCACCCAACAAACCCCAAACGGAGCAGAGAGAAACCATCCGGTTGTTCTGGTCAAAACTAAGCCGCTGAAGGAAAAGGACCCTCTATGAGGACAGTAAGGTCCACATCTGGACACAGGTTTTGAGAGAGGAGGAAAGGAAGCCGTCTTTAACAGAGGAGGGGGACTCTGTTATCACCTCCCAGCTCCTCCAGGAGGTTTCAGCCATTCACAGCTTGGACCTTTTGAGCTAAACTCAGCTTTCAGTCTGATGATCTCCAGGTGGGGAAGACTGTCTCTCATTGGTCAGGGAGGTTCAGACTGTAACCCCAACCACCATGGTATATAGGGCTGAAGAAGCCTTTAGGATTAGAGGAAAAATGTCTAAATACCCCAAAAGAAAAAGGTCCAGCCACCTTTATCATAAATGTGTAAATCCCAGGCCTTCAATCAGACCAATGAGGTTTGAGAAGATTAGCTTCTTCGTGAGAGATTTCTTTGGTATCGAGTAAATAAAAAGCGGACTCAGTGCTGTAGGCATCTTCATGGAGGAGCATTGACGCAGATACGGAGGCATGCAGAGATTTGTAGGTCTTTTCATAGTATTTTATTCATGGAATGAGATCGTGGTGTTCTCAGTGTCAGAAGAAACATGAAAGATTGTGAGAAAAACTCTCAGCCTGCGAGACGTCCCCCTCGTATAAAAAAAACAAAACAAAACATCGTCTTTAACGTTCTCAAATACCAGACTCTGCTAGGAGGTTTATAGATCAACCAAAAGCACAAAAACAACAAAGGCAAGGCAAAATCCACCACCAGAAGAGGGCAAAAAACGCAGCAATCTGAGATGTAGAAAGCAAGCAGAAGGAGCATTTATTTAGAAACTTTATTTTTGACTTTACAGCTTCGTCTCCGTAAGATAATGTGGTCTCCAATTAAAAAGCCCTGAACACATCATAACAAATACAGCACACAATATTGTCAAACGACGTAAATTTACATCAGAGGTCTTTAGTTTTCTTTACTGGGAGTTTTTGCTCTACCAACAGGAAGAATTCAAACGCGTGAACACGTGATGGTTACTACAGACTGTGCATGTTTCTTATTTGGGATCTTATTTTAGTGGTATAGGCAGGAAAAATCATTAGAAAATAATAAAAAGAATTTGCAATTAGCACCTTAACTGAGTTTTTTTTTTTTATCTTCTGAATCAGCACCTTGTCCGGTTAGTAGCGATTAGCGTTGTCTGTCATGCTGTTGCAGGAAAGAGGAGTTTAGACGATGAGGTCTTTATCCACATCCTCTGTAAACACAAAAAAACACAATTACAGGTTAGTGACAAAGTTAATGATGGTTTTATGCCAGAAAATATCAACCTGAAGAGTTGTGAAGGCCTTATTCAGAGCTAAATGCCTATTTCTTTGTGTGTTTTATCGGAACTAATCCGATAAAACAAGTACATAAAATGAAAAACAAGATACTTCAAACAGGAGCCTAAAGGTTTCACCATCCATCCATTATCGTTACCGCTTATTTCCTAATGGGGTTGGGGGGGGACTGGAGCCTATCCCAGTAGCAAATGGGGAGAGGCAGGGTCACCTTTGACGGTCCATCAGTCCATCACAGGGACACACAGAGACACACAAGGACCAACAACCACACACACTCACTCCTAAGGGCATTTTTGGAATGTCCTATAAACCAAACATGCAGGTTTTTGGACTGTGGGAGGAAGCCGGAGAACACGGAGAGAACAAAAAGACATGTACAGAACATGTAGACTCCACAGAGAAAGGTCCTGCTTCTCAATGTGCTGGTGCTAACCACCACACCACCGTGGGACATAACGGGGTAAAGACTTCCCCTCTGACTGGTGGACACAGTGTCTCCCTGTGCATGTTCAGGGGGGGGGGGGGGGAACCGGCGGGTAACTCACGCTCCTTGACGCCGAAACAGGCGGCCCACTCCTCCAGGGCGATGTACTTGTCGCTGTCGGCGTCGCAGGCCTCGAAGAAGCGGGTGGTGCAGTGCTCCATGGGGATGAGGGGGGCGCGCAGGGGGGCCAGCTCGGAGTGGGTCAGGTACCTGGGGGCGCACGCACACCGAAAGACAAGCACGGTCAGGGATTTAACGCCCCGGGAACGAGGCCAAAAGCTGACCGGGTGAGCGGGGGCGTACCCGTCGTCGGGGTGCTGGTCCAGCTGGCCGAACTGCCAGTGGACAGGGAAGATGTACATGTTGTAGTTCTTCTGGAAGTCGTGGGCCAGCAGGTCCAGGGAGTGCTCGCCGGCCTGCAGCCTCTTCTCGTTCTCGTAGATCTTCTTCACCTGAAGGATTCCACAGACGGGGTTCATTTCAGAGGCTAAGACGCAGGCTAAGCCCTCCATAAAGGGTTCAGGGGCCACATTTCAGCACAGATCTGCTGTTTTTGTTATTTATTTGAAATCATATCAGGAGCTGATGTGTGAAAAGTTGTTCAAAATGTGTTATCCAGCCATAAATTTGTCCTTACCGGGACTTAAGGTAAATATTCCACTCTTTAAAAAAGCCTTTTTGGTGAAATAATATGCATGTTCTTCTCTTTCTAATAGCCTGACAAAAGGCCACACACAACTTAAAGATGATTCTTATTCTTGTTGTTGTTTGTAATTGGTCTAGTACGTTTTGTAATGGGGTGGCATGGTGGTTAGCACCATTGTCTCACAACAAGAAGGTTGTGGGTTCAAGTCCCCAGGGGAACCAGGACCTTTCTGTGTGGAGTTTGCATAATAATTATTGGTGTTGTTTAAAATCAAATAAAAAAACAAGCTGTATGAATGTGATTAATGGATCAAAATGGCCACTCAGTGGTTACAATAAGAAACAGAATTTATTACAAATATTCTCAGATAAGTATTGTATTTCTGTTGTGCGTCACCTTTTTTTTTCTATCGTAGGTGTTTTTGTCATGTCATTTTAAAATTTTTTCCAAAATGTCTGTTTTTCACGCCTGAAATACAATGAATTCATCTGGTTTAATCTTCTGGAGGTGGCAAAGTTTTTTCTGGGTAACCATAAGGAGAGACAACGTTTACATCTGATCCTCCCTGTTGGGGGTTTTTCAGACCAGGGGTTTTTTCCATCTGGCCCGGTTCTCTTTACAGAACCTTCAGAGTCGGTCCTGAGCCGGTGGAAGGGAGGCTGTACTCACCCTGAGCTTCTGCTTCTCGGTCAGCAGGTTGTTGTCCTCGTCGCGCTCGTACAGAGTGACCAGCACGTTCTTCAGCCAGTCCCTCATGCGCAGCGGGAACTCGCTCAGCTCGCTGTCCTGGCAGGGCTCGATGTCTGCGGGGGGGGGGGGGGTCAGTTAAAACCAGTCATCCAGACAAACCTGACACCAGGAACTCCAACTTCCTGCCACACAACGGCCAGTTCATGGGTCAGGGGTCGCTTTGTTTGCTTAGTTTTCCTCTGGTCTCTGTTTTTTTTTACTTCTCCAGTTGATTTTGGGTCAAACGAAAACACTTATAATCCACACAGTTTTCTAAAATAGAGGATTGAAAGAATTAAAAGGATGTAATGGTTTTAAATAAACATCCCAACTAACCTCTGATCGAAATTATAGTCCAAATCATTCCAGTTTCCTGACATTTTTACTCAAAATTAGCTCTAATTTTCAGTACATGAGCTCTTTTTTTATACCACGTTATAGAAATAGATGTAAAATATATCTAATGTGGTAGAAACAAGTTCACTAAGAAGAATAAACTAGTATTTGTCTTTATGAGAAGGCAAAGAGACCCAATAAGACAAAAAGGGAGGAAAATATGGAGTTAAACTGGGTTTGTTGCGCCTCAGTTCTGGTTTGTTTCTCATCGTCAGCCAAAGTTTCCTCTGTGTCTCCCTCCATCTGCCTCACCAATCATCCTCCTCAGTATTTAAGCTCCCTGGTTTTTCTCAGCCTTTGCCAGACGCTCTTTATGCCTCTTTGTTTAGCCGCGTCTCTCGCTCCTCTCAGGTTGTGTTTAGTCAGGTTAGTTTGGATTTTAGTTTCTACTTCCTCCACTTTTGGAGAAAGTACATTTCTAGCTCAAGTGTCTTTCCCCTCACGTGTCTTAATGTTGCATATTTCCCCCCCTCCCCCTCTGTCCTTACACGTTACCCCCTCAGTCCAAAGCTAAAAACTCTTCAGACTGAATGATGTCACCGTTTGAGGGTCCAATCAGGGCTTCAGACTCGGTAAACACTGATGTCAACACAGAAAATGATGGAGCTTCTCCTCCGAAGCCTCCCGGTGTTCAGAGAGCAGGTCCAACCCCACCAAAATGCTCAGGCTAAGCTAAAATAAATGCCTCCAGTTAAAGTCCTCCAAGAAGAAAGTGAGTCAACAACAAGTCTGGCATCCAGAGAGACACAAAGTCCATGCTGAGGCTGCACGGAAGTCCCACAAAATGTGCACGTTTTCCACATGTTCCAGATCAAAACTTCAGTCAAAATGGACATGTGAATTTTTTTAATCAATTCTGTTGAAAAATTGCTTGATTTGAAGTTGTTAAACATGCTTTTAACTCATTGACTGGCAGCCATTTTCATAACAGAGAGTCCCATACTGCCAGAGTTTTTTGAGCATTTTGACTGATTTTTCAAGAGCCACAGAATAGTTTGTGCTATGACTATGTAAACACCGAACACGCCAAAAGAAAGAGTAGACTCTCTTCTTTCATCAGGAAAAAAAAAATTGTTTCAACCTTATTCCGTTCTTCCTCTACTTGCGTCTCACCGGCGCCATTTCTCGCATAGCGAACCATTGCGTTTTTTTTTATTTGCCTACAGTCTATGCTCATCCCCCATCAAAAGTGGCACTGCCCCCTAGAGGGTCAATTTGTTACTACATACTCTGTCTGGAAGCCGATATTTACGGAAAAACTTCAGCCGATCGTCCCCCAGCCACTCTCGTTGAAAAAAAAAAAAAGACGTCTATAGACGTCTTTGGCAGCGAATGGTTGGATTTGAATTGACGTTTTAAGACGTCTTTGGCAGCCAATGAGTTAATGAGTAATAAACCACAGAAACTATTTACTTCACCAGTTCAAAGCCAGTCCTTCTGTGATATAGAAGTGTTAGACCTCAAGAGTGATTAAAAGCAGACCTCATGAGAGCTAAATAAAGTTTAAATCAAATCCTGCAAACAGCGAGAGCCTCCGTCTAAACGTTCACCCTCGTGGACCCAATGCAGCTGCACCCTGAGGCCGATTCAAGGTGCAGGCATGTCCCGACTCGAGCTTTCTGGCAGCCGTCAATCTCAGACAGCGGGCGCTGACAGCACGCCTCGGCCTCGGCTCTTTAGCTCATCACACGCGTGAGAGCACACCAGGCCAGAGCAAACAGGATCTCACCGGCAGACAGACGCACGAGAGCCCGTCCGGCAGATAAAATTCCACTGGAAGGGATCAGATAAGTCTCTCTTTTTTGCTTTCCATTCAAACAGCCAGACATGATGCTTTCCCCTCCAGGCTGAGGTGGACAAACAGTTGAGCATGACGGTGGATTTTCATGGAAGCTCTTTATTTTTAACAGGTATGAAGGTTTTTCTCTTTCAGATCTGCAATTTCCCCAAAAATTGTCATTGGTTTTTCCAAGTTTTCCTCCTCTCTGAGGTCACTGTTTATTGTAAATTCACCTGAAAAAAAACCAACCCCAACAGTAACCTCTGAAATGGGCAGCAGGGCAGTTTTATTTCTGACTGAAAAAGCAGCATCAACATCTGGCCCCTGGAGGACAGATGTGCCAAGGTGGAGGACCCCCTTTAAAACCACACGTGAGATACATTTTCCCCCACAAACAAACCCCTCAAACACAGATGAGCTGCTCTGAAATCTGATTAGTTGTGCTTTTTTAATTCCTTTTTTGCTTTTTTATTAATTTTTTGCTCTGCTAACAGCTTCTTTTGCAACTGAAATTTCCACTGCACAACATATTTCATTTTTATTTCATACACGGTCTGAACATTTTTTAGGACGGTTTTATTTGAAACCATAACTTTTATTGATTAACCTTGAACCGAGCACTTTTAATGATTAAAACATGTAGATTTAGAACAAAAATAAGTGAAAATCTGCAGTTTACAGTCTGATTTCTAAGGTTAGGTCAATTTAAGCTCCTTCTTTGGTTCCTCATTGATAAGCCTATAACACAGATATTATATACACAGTATTTTCCTTATATTTTTTCATTTTGAGTTCCTACTTGCTGTGTATTGGGTAGTCCCTGTGCCTCAAAAGGTGAAGGTAAAGGGGGAACGTAAATATTTGGGAATAAAAATGTGCCAAATAATCTCATATTTTGATTTTTTTAAGCGAGCTGGTCGAGTATTGAGAAGAAGTTCATCATTTGGTTTCTAAGGAAGGTTATTTGTTTGGATTCAGATGATCAAGAGTCAGTTTAGAGGTAAAAACGGAAAGTTTAACCAAGCCCCGTGTTGAGGGAACTCACATTTGCATGGCCCGATGTAGTCCAGGTGCAGCTTGTGGCCCTTCTTGGTTCCCTCCAGAGCACACTTGGTGGCAAAGAAGTGGCAAGACGAGTCGTAGGTCTTGTTGTCAGTGCCGCAGACCTGAAAAAAGGGCAAAACGGCTCATTGAGAAGGCCAGATTCTTTAAAGATTTGAGAAATTCTGATGGAGTAGCTCGTCAGACGGATATCGAGGAGCTTAAGTTTGACCCTAGTGACGCATAAGGGAGCAAAAACATCAAATTTAGGTTAATTGTTGACCCGCCCTCTCGTCAAATCACAGCTGGAACTGCCTCCGGCCCCCCCAGCGACCCCGCTGGGAACAGGTGGTGCAGTTGGTGGATGGACTAGGGCTTTTTTGACAGCTCACATTAGCTAAAACGAGTGTTTGACTAAGTGTTGCGACCCTGACTGTGAACTTACGTGCTCGAACTCGGCCTCGGCGGCGGGGCAGGTGGAGGGGTCCTGGCACACACACAGGGGGGTGTTGCTGTCATCGACCTCACACACCTTGCCCTTCTTGCAGTTAAAGTTCAGACAGGGGTCTGCGGGGGGGAGACACACACACAGAGGCCAAGCTGCTTTATTAAGAAACACAGAAACTTTCACAAGCTGAGAACGAATCGTAGAGTTTTCTCTGTGCTCAGAGGGTGGTCTGGCATTTAATGGGAATGTCCTATAAGCCGATAATTAGTAAAAACATGCAAAAACAAAGGTCTTATTTGTCCTGGTTGGTGTCACCAGGAGAGGAAGGTCAGTTTTGCTCCAGAATATAAACAAAATGACACTTTTTAACATCAAAAGACCATTTCCTAATGCATAATGTGCAAAGAAAGGATATAGAATAGTTAAATAGCCAAATATACTTTAATGTTTAGATCCTGGACAGTTTCATTTGACTTTCTGGTAGATCTTTAACTCTTTCATTACCTTGTGTATCATGTCACAGGTTTGATTAACCTACTTCATCGTGTTAAAAGAAACTGTAAAATAGAGTAATTTCTTTTTTTTTAGGGACAATACTTAGAAAATACATTAAAAACGTATTTGCGATTAGTCACCTTTTATAAATATAGATAAAAAGTGAAACAAATAAATGACTTGAAAAGAGAATGATCTGTCCGTTGACTTTCATTATCTTAGATTGATCATATTCATAGACGTTTTTTCTTTTTGGATTTTTTCTTTTGCTAGACATTGATTTTAACCAATATCTTGAAAATAGAGGAAATCTTCCCCATGCTGAATGAGACATCAACTCATCAGGGGTGGGGGTAAGTACAGTATTTAGTGTCCCAGCCTCTTAAACAGGAGGGCAGGGGTTCAAATCCCAGATGGGAATACACATGTATATATTCTACTTTCTAAGTTGCTTTGAATAAAAGTGTCTGCTCGATGCATAAACATCAGGCTTGTAGACGGGGGCAGAAACTGTCGGTGTTCTCGTGTTTTGTTGTGGCTGACGTCTGGCCTCTCTGTCTCAGAACAGCTCGTGCCCTCACAGCTGCAGCTCAGCCGCCTCCCGAAATCGGGCGCAACGTGTAATCACCGCCGTCTGCCGGCTGGAATTAGACAGCCTGTTATTACGGCCGCCTGCTCTGCCAGCTCGAGGCTTCGCAGAGCGCCCAGACCTGCGTAGCCACAGCCAATCAGAGCAAAGACCAGTCGCTGAAGGCCTCAGGGCACCCTGTCAGTGCACCCGAGGTTTGTCTGTCCAAAACCTCCTTTAGAGTCATCTGACAGCAGAAATACAACAACGCTCCCAAATCCCTGCTCTCAAACCCCGTTTTTGGGTGACTTTAAGACATTTTCCCTAAAGGCGAAGAACCATTTTGATATCCAAAGAGTCGTATATTTGACATAAATAGTAGGGATGTGTTATGTAGATTTTCTATTAAACTGAGATGCTTCCAAGTCAGGCTAATTTTTTTTAGAAATACACTTTTAACCCATAAATGGGAAAAGAGTGGCCACGGCGTTTTCTCTTCACTGGTCCTGACAAAGGAAAAAGAAGAGGAAAGAGCTGTCTTTTAACATGGAAAGTTACTATAAATACATTGTTTTTTCTTAAAAGACGACAGATGAAACATTTGGATTGTTTCTACATGAATTGGACTCAATTGGAATGTAATAAGCTGGATTCCTATTGTCTACAACAAACTGTAAATATCTTCAGAGGAGATCTATTGGCACTTAGCACACAATATTTGATTATCGTAAATAGTTTAAAACAGACATTTCTTGACTGATTTGGATTTGCTTTACAGAAAGATGACCAGTTACCAGGTTTGTTCATGAAATTAGTTTCACGATTCACTTCAAACCAGGGACAGCCGCGTGGCTTCAGTTTAAAGGCAGCTATAAAGAGGAAGCTCTCATGGTTTTGAACATATAAAGATGTTTACTCTGACGTTTTCTGAAAACTCCCTCTGCTCCTCGTTTGTTTGAAGCTGGGTAAACTCGTTTCCTGGGACCTCATGGAGAAGATAAACAGCCAAAAGGACTCACTCTCAGCAGCAACATCCTCTTCCACGAGGTCGATGGCCTCGTCGAACTCTCCAACCTCCACCTGCACTGGGTTGGCCCCCACCTCGGGCTCCTGAGGAACAGAGAGGTCAGAGGTCAGAGTCAAGCTCTCCGTGGGTCATCGGAGAATCCGAAATAAAAACCGCTCCCCCCGATAGGTTCAAATCCTTGTTTTATTTCTGCAAGATGGCCCTTTGAAGGTACCCAAACTGCGATATCCAACATTAACGGGCATCTGGGTCCACATGTGGTGGAGCTCTGAAAAAATGGCTTCCTGGCCAGCTGAGCCAGAGGCTAAAATTAACAGCTGTGGGATCTCTGGTCCCGCTGGACCTCTGAAGCAGGAAACCATAAAACCTTCACATTAAAGATGAACGTTTTCTGCTTTTTTTTACAGACGATTGTGGACGACATCGTGCTCTTTCCCTAATAAGGGAAGGACGCGGAAAGAGTTGGAACCTGTCCCCCCCTTGTTGGAAAGAATGAATAAGAGGAGTCAGACCCTGAGGTTAAGAGGTTAAACCAGCTTTGTCTAAAGAAACACTCGAAGGGAGAAGGTGCTATTTGGGTAAAATAATCAAAATTCTTCAGAGGTTTGAGGGAAGATTTATTTTAAGAGTCCAAAACACCAAAAGCCACTGTTTGAACTGGTTCAACATGGCGGCCGTGTCAGATTTAGACAGGAGGCACACGCACAGGAAGGGGGAGGGGGGGTCTCCAGGGCTCCTGGTCATTTTCTTGGTGGTTTGACTCCTATTGAGGCAGATTGGTCAACAGTGAATTGTTCATGGGAAACTCCGACAGGTCTGGCTGCCGAGTTAAAACTTTGAGCTCCGACTCAGATCAGATCTGAGCAGCTGCACGGCTCAGAAAGCAGTCTGCCAAATCAAACTCACATGACGGCCCATGTGCGCTGAAATCCGCGACAAAGGGGGCTCACAGGAACGGTGTTTTTAGGTCACTAAGGAGGTCCAAATAACAGCGTTTGCTCTCAGATGCTTTTTAAAAAAGGGGATCGCTAACAGACTCATGATCGGGAAAAAAAATGTCACGTCTGGGGGAATTTCTGGTGTGTTGTCCTGTCTTCCTTGATTACCTATTGTGTACACCTGGGGTTCCCTTCCCTCATGTGTTTAAATAGTCCTAATTTCCCCTTGTCCCGTGCCAGTGTGTTTTCGTGTTTTCGTTCCTCGTCTTGTTCACGCCTCGTAAGAGAGAGTTTTGATTTTGCACTTTATTCACAGTTTTGTTTTTGCCTCGGTCACGTGAGATTTTGATTTAATACTTTGTTCATCGTCTTGTTTACTTGATTTGATACTTTGTTCCTAGTTTTATCTGCCTTGTTTGAACTTTGTCTCCTTTTGAGTGCGTTTTTGGTTCAATAAAACCTTTTAGAACAACTGAGTCCTCCCTGAGATCCACCCTTGTCAAAAAAATCCTCGTCACATCTGAGGAAAGTGTTCTCAAACAAAACATTTGGTTTTCTAACGGCCAAACGGGGTTACTCTGGCATCAGTTGGCGCCAAAGGCGGGGCCTGCTGCGGGTTGAGGTGGGAAACGAGGCGGAGAGGCAGCTCCCTGAATAGGTTTTTCCTCCACACGCAAGGACAAAAAAAAAGCTGAAAAATGCGGCACGGACTGGCAGTTAGCGCCGCTCCTCTGGGGAAAAGTGTTTGGAGGAGCGGACAAAGCTGGACGTCCAGCAGAAATGGGAAACGGTAGCCTCATCCAGAGGAAATTCCAATGTTGTGACATGATGCTCTGCAGAGCTCTGGATGCTCTGCAGCTGGTGATTGGCTCTCGTTTTATTTTTTATAGTTTTTTTTGTACCATTTTTTGAGAGAAAATCACCTAAAAGAGTCCATCTGACTCTAAAAAAAAGTTTAACCTGTATTCTAAATTGGTCTGTTCATGCTCATCAAACCTTAATATTCAGATGTACACATTTAGGAGACACTTTCTAGCCATTTAGACATTTGAAAGACTTTGAATCAAACCACCAACCTTTGCATGACCAGGACTCCATCTGTTTGTGTGCTAACTGGGCCACTAACAATGAGCTTTTGTTGGCAGGTAAACAGGATTTCTGTCCGTTATATACCATAAACATCCTGCCCGGCTTTCACAGTTCAATCTGGGTGGGATTATGTTATACAGGCCCCTACACACACGAGCCCTTTAACCACCTGCTTTGCACAGACTGGCTTTAAACTGGCTTTAAATCCAAACAGAAGTCACAGAAAGATAATACGGCGTTGTGGCAGAGCGTGCTTTGGGAAAGGTGCCACGCGAAACCCTCAATGGAGCTCGTTTTGGTTTTCACGGAGCTACCGGTGGAACCAGAGCAACATCTGGACATCTGGACTGACCTCATCCACTGGCTCCTCCACCACTGGCTCCTCTGTGACCAGCTCCTCCACAACGGGCTCCTCCTCGGTCTAAAGCACACACACAGGAAAACACACGTGAAGGCAGGAAGTTTGCGATCGCACAACGGTAGGGAAACGGTAGGGCCTCTAAAAACAAAGCTTTCCTGGATACGGACTCCGCGAGTGGCTGTGAGATTATACAGAAGGCCTGACAGTAAGTCAGACCATCACACAGGGAAGGACACTCACCGGGGCGGCCATGGCGTGGCCGGCCAGGCACAACAGGAAGACGATCCACACCCTCATCTTCGAAGTCTGAGAAGAGACACAGAAAAAGGTTTCCATCAGGCCCAACAGTTTACGCTCACAAAAAGCAAAAGCAGTCGTTTCCTTACAGATTAAAAAATAAAATAAGTGGAAAAAAGATATTCGAATGACTCCCTTCTTTGACATTTTTGTCATTTTCAATGAAAAAACATATCATAAATAACACTTATCAATATTAAACCCAATAACTGAGCATCGTTTGATTTTTTTGTGTTATTTCCCTTACAATAGAAAGTGAAATAGCTAAAAACAACCAAAGGTTTAACAATCTTAAGGTAAAGAAGTATATGTTTTGTCTTTTTAAAATCATTCGTGCTTCTTTATGTTAAAAACGACTAGGCTGATAATGACGTTATAATTGTGTTTTTACTTTTATGAACTGCTGCATCTGATTTGCTTATAAAGATGAATAAATCGAATAGATTTTGTTAGATTCAGTTCATGGCATTTAAAGGAAATTGTCAATAAAATGAGACTGATCGAGGGTTTATCAATTGGTTAAAACCAAAAGTCTGTCTGACTCCAAAAAAAACCCACCCGAAACTGCAATGTTTGGCTTGTGTTTTAATTCAAATCTTAAATTCTTTATCTGTTTTTACTGGAACTTATACTGCATTTATATCAAAATAAAAAAAGGAGCAGTGAATTCTAAAATGAAAATAAGCAGGACCACAAAGTTGGAAGTTTCTTTTGTCAAGCCCCATAAATCAGTATTTTAATACAGTGGCGTTAAAGAAGAGTCCAAAGACTGCATGTCTAATCACCTCACAGCCATTTTCCGGGCATCTGGAAACATGTGGCCCGGCCCTAAACGCCTCCTCAGGCCCTCGCACAGAACGCTCACTGTGGCCTGCGTCTGTAGCACATTGTGCCCAAACTATCTGGGGCTGTTTACGGTTTTGTTTGGAGGATTCCTCCACAGAACGTCATGATTTCAAAGGATTTTTGTTCCCGGCGGAGAGCGTGAATCCGTAAGCTTCTCGCTGGGCGCATTGTTCTGCTTCTTTGGGTGGAAACCGAGCAGTAAACAGCTCCGGCCTTTATGTGCTCCTCCACAGGAACATTTTTTGCTCCACCTGAGGCGACGTGTTTTCACTAGTTTTTCCGCCACACCTCTGTGTGGAAAAAGCAGCCTCAGCAGAAGCTTTTTCTCCATAATAGTCATATTATGGCTGGGAGCCCTACGCTTTTTACAGATACTTATCGTAAAACAACCGTTTTGCATGTTTCAACTCAAAGGTTTGCTGGAACACAGCGTTGCTGTAAATATTTCTCATGATATAAAGGAACATTAGTCATAATTCAAAGGTAATTAGATTAGATTTTTAAGCGTGCTGTTTACAGAAAGCATGGTTAAATGGTCCGACTTTGTTACTTTTCTCTCGTATGCTCTCATGTACTTGTTTTACTCGTCACTTACAGGTAAATCCTCCATCCTCCACTCTTAGATGAGCCACAATATCATTCGTGTTACTATATATTCGCATTGAAGTGCCTCAACAAATCCAAAAATCATGCTTTTTCATACTTCTTAGCTGGAACACATCATGTATTCCGACAAGCCGAGAAGATTTGAGCATCAAAGTCTGACAAAATCGATGCAAATTTGCCCCCTTGAGGGCAAAGATGAGTTACAGGTCTCTCTGGGTTTTTGGTTTGATTTCTGTTTCCCTTCTGGCTTCGTTTTTTTCTCATCTGATATATTTTGTGCTTTAATCTACGTTTCTGGTGTCTTTTTTGGTCGTTTCTCTATCGTTCTTCTTTTTTGTCGTTTCCTGTTTCTGGTCTTCATCCATAGTCTCCTCAGTGCTCTGACCTTTGCTGCCTCCAATTATTATTTAACCTCCCCTTTATCATTTCATTTGCTGATCACTTACTCGTCTTTATGTACAATTCTCTCAATTCTCTCAGCTGTTAAAAATAGGGGCATTGTGGGAACACATTAATCTCTTCAGAGGTAATTTCCTGATTTTGATATCTTATATGACTAATAAGTGGACTCCAAGGCACATGTTTGTACTTTGACAGGCCCTGAAAGCTGAAAAATAGACAAAATAAAAGAATAAAACCGCCGTACAATCCCAGAGAAAAGTCTTTGGACCCCTAAATTATTAGGTGCTTTCATTGGTTTCCCTCGCCCCCCCCTTCCATCTTCGGGTTTTTCCCACTGCAGCGTTTATTCCTTCCTTCAGTGTTTGTTTTTTCATGCTTTTTGTTGTCTTTCATGAACAAATCTAACGCGTTTCCTTGCCTGCTGGGTCCTAATTTGAAAAAAGTTTGGTCGGATTTAGTCTGTAAATCTGATTTTTTGGTGTTTTAAAAACAAAAATGTTTGGAAATGTCTTGAACATTATTTAAAAAAGCTACCTGTGCTCTCTTATCTTTATTGTGTCTGCTTTGGCTTCGGGAAGCCTCAGTTCAAGTAAAAAACAAGAGTTCTTTTTAGGGTCCCAGAGAGCACATGTTGGAAAGCATCCACTCCTTCAGATAGGAACTCGCAAACTTCCTGTTGCGTGTCGTGAGAAAAGCCCCCCTGTCTGGATCCATCTTCTCTCCCCCCTCCCGTTGGCCCGTCTGAGCATCCATTGTGTCAAACTCAATGTAAAAAAAAAAATCTCTTCCTCTCTTCTTGAAGACTAAATAAGGGCCCCTTTGTTTGGAAACGGACCCTGGCATTGCTCGGTCGTCCTCTTGATGTCTATTATCTCCCTCTTCACCTCCATGAAATCAGCTGTTCCCCCCCAACAGCCTGAATAATCTCCCTGCCAGCAGAGTGCCGGTGGAGCATAGGGGTCACTTTAAGAGCCCCTTTGAGGTCTGGCTGCGAGAACTCCTCAAAACAAGGCCCGTTATCTGCTTCCTTTCGCTTCTTTTCTCAGCTCTCGGGGAAGTTTCTCATGCAGGGCGACGACAATGAAGTACACCGGCACAGTTAATATGTTAATATTATAGAATATTGATATTTACAAAGCAGAGCGGGGCAAAACGGTGGTGTGGTGGCCATTGCTTCACAGCCAGAAGGTCCTGGGTTCAAATCCTGGGGGGAACCAGGATCTTTCTGGGTGGAGTCTGCATGTTCTCCCGGTGTCTGTGGGTTCTCTGGGTTCCTCTCACCCTCCAAAAACATGTATGTTAGCTAGGAGTGAGTGTGTGTGGTTGTTGGTCCTTGTGTGTCTCTGTGTGACCCTGTGATGGACTGGCGGACTGTCCAGGGTGTACCCCGCCTCTTGCCCATTTCCCTATGGGATAGGCTCCAGTTCTCCCCGCGACCCCATTAGGGACTAAGCAACAATGATAATGGATGGACAAAGCAGAACGCAGCATGGTTTGGATTCCAGCGCCTCGGTTCAGAGGCCAGCGGAAGACGAACCCCACCGGGCCCGGTTTTTGGTCATTGAGACCCGGAAAATTCAACTGACTTTGACCAGCCAGATAACGGCATTTCAACGTGTCCAGACACACGCCGGGAAAAGGCTGAGCTTTTCGGCCCCCCCGGAGAGAGATGGGACATATCAGACGGCAACAGTTTGGTTCACGGTGCTGCAGATCTCAGCTTCGCCTTTTTGGAAATGACTGACATGTTTGCTTTAGGTTTAAAATACTTGTGTGAAATGTGTTTTCTTTCCCCGCAGCTAGCAGCGCGATCAGATAGCAGAGCGTGACCGGAGAGAGCAGCCCTCTCTTTCTGTGACACTTCACAGTGAATAACAATGATTACACAGTGTTTTCTTCATGAAATCCTTTGATCTAAACGCATATAACCAAAAAAATGTTGTTTTTTTCCGGAGCCGAAACTTCTGTTTGTATTCATTTAGCTACTATTGTTGCTTCCGATCAACCAAAAGTTGAATAAGTTCAAAAGGGTTTTCCTTTAAAATACCAGAGAGACATTTTGATTCATTTTTACCCATAAATGAAATATTCACAGGGCTAGTTAGTCACATTAGTTTTTTTTTCTGGTAGGTTAAAGTTTAGTTGCAGACATTTTTTTTATTCTCAACTCCTGATCCAGTCACAAAACAAATAGAAAACAGTATTAATCTCCTATAAAAACCTGGTTCTGCTCCTTTAAAGCCTTAAACAACTTGCTGGATGTTTGATAGCAGAACTAATAATTCCACTTTCTGTCACTAAGTGAAGCAGATGTTAGTCTGATAAATAAAGGGCTGAACTGGAGAAAGAACTCTGTGCTGCTTTAAAATTACCTGTTAGCACTAAATTACAGCAGATCTATTGAAGTCTGGATGCTTTTAATAAAGTTCTTTACCTAAAATGGACACTTTGAGCTCCCAAACATCCAGATTTAACCCCCGTGTGCTCTGTGGAGTACTGTAAAATGAATCCTAATGTAAACAGGAAGCCAATGCAAGGAGGTTAGATCCAGAATAATGTGCTCTGGTTTCTGTTCAAATAATCTTCCTATACTGGAAATAGAGAGCTGCAACAATCCAACCAAATGAAACCAACTAAAACCACTTTGGTTTTACCTTTATGAATCTATTTCATACCAAATCATGGGGAATGTAAACCTGAGTATGAGCTCTGTGATTTCCATTGGTACTACTGACCATTTTAAAGACACTAACAAAGTATTTGTCTGTCTAAAACAGACAAGAAGGGGCTGAACACAACACACATCACACTGGTTGAGAGGGAAATAGCTTGAACTATCGTCAGCATATAAATGGACTGACAGAGAAAAAAGAAGAGGCCCATGAATGGAGCCAGGTGGCACACCCCATGACAGGTTAGCACAGGAGGAGATAGACAGACTCATCCTCAGAAAAGTTGTACTTTATGCAAAAGAAACCCGAGAGCTTGATTCCCACTAACAGCTCCAGCTCCACCATCAACAAAGACCCAAAGCTGCCTTCGACTCAAGTTTATGTGGGACTTTTGATTTAAATTAGGCTTCTTTCCTTTTGGATTATCGTGTGGTCGGGCGGACTGATGCTAATAATCAAAGATTAAATCAGTTTCTTATGACCTGAATGCTGCTTTTAGAAGCATTCCCTTCTCTTCCCAACGGCCCGCTCTTTGTGAGTGTGCAAATAACGTCCAGCTTTGGGTAAAAATGCAGCCTCGGACGTGGAAAATTACAGAAAAACCCTGGATGCGCGCGGCGACGTCTCCAAATAACCTCGTACACAAGGAAACTTGTCTGTGCCTTTGAAAAGCCGAGCTAAAAATAAAAAAAGGGACATTTCCAGTAAAAGCACTTTGTGCGTGTCGCTCACCGGTGAAAATAGAAGTAAATGTCATCAGAGAGGGAGGAAAAAGAGCGTTTGCGCTGGTGTTTGAGTTGGAGGGACGCGGCGCTGCTACGGTGTTTAAAAGGTTCCCGTTTGGTCAGTGGGCTCAGCAGGACGGAGGAGGAGGCTGGACGCTCTGATGTAACTGCAAAAGCAAATTATTTTATTTGGAAAGCTGCTCTCATAATCAAACAGGACGGAGGCTAAAAGGGAAACTTCAGGCTCATAAAGAGGCCCCTTTTCCCCCCGCAGAGGTGTTTAATTTGGGTCGGTTAGGTAAGCGAGGGTAAACTTTCTGTCGGAGGAAAACAACCTGCGCTGGAACTGTCACCGATTCAGATCTGGGCCCGGCCGGCTTGGACGCTTGGAGCCGGAGCCTTTCGTCCTGTTGCTTTTTCCCCCCTTTCGGGGGCTTGAAAGGGGGGACAGATTTAGAGGAATCCTTTCTCCTCCTCCTGGGTGACATAACAGGCGGGCAAACAGCCCCCGGCCGTCTACAAACAACGCCGCGCCCCAGCAGACGCAGCAGAGACCTGCAGATTGAAGAGGGATTTGGGTGTTTGCACGCAGCCCCGGGGGGGCGGGGGGAAGATTAGGAAAAGCTGTGTGGAAGTCTATGAATCTGCGTCCAAACACAATCTCTGCAGGAGCTTCTTCTGTCCCAGGCGTCTGGAAAGAGGAGCTCCTGGGATGGGTTTTGTCCTCTGGTTGACTTGTTTTTCGGGGGCTTTGGGGGACCTGACGGTCACTCCAAAGGTCAAACAGGTGCCGGAGCAAAAGCAAAGTGAGGAATGTCTCTGAATAGCTTCAGATGGAGCAGAGCTTGCAGCTCAGCTGTGTCTGACGAAAGCTGTCAAGATCTAGCCAAACACACGACGGGGCTTGTTGCTCCAGGTTTCTTTTTTCTAAGCCCTTTGATTACAGATAATACTGAGGGTTAGAATTATAATGCAGGAGGAGGGACGTTTCTCCAAACCCATACTAAAGACATTTCTACCTATATAGATCAGAAAATATACAGCAAGTTTTACCTGAAATGAACAAGCTGAGCAAACCTTTCCCTCATTAGATTAATCAGATTTGGGTTTGTGCAGATTGTTTTATAAAGTTCGCTGGAAGAGTCAAAGAGTCAAATTTTGATTACCAAAATATTGGGTTATTGGGTTATATATATATATATAGAGAGAGATAGGTAGGTAGGTAGGTAGGTAGGTAGGTAGGTAGGTAGGTAGGTAGGTAGGTAGGTAGGTAGTTAGGTAGGTAGGTAGGTAGGTAGGTAGTTAGGTAGGTAGGTAGGTAGGTAGGTAGGTAGGTAGGTAGGTAGGTAG